TTTTGTATAAACCCGGAGCAGATATTTAATGGGTTAATGGTTTGATATTGGTGTCAAGACAAAGTGTGACTATTTGAAATCTACAAAAATATCAAAACGTTTTTGTCACGTAGTATCGGGTATAATGGTTAATTTAATGGCTTTTAACAACTCACTATGAAGCTGCTAATGCGTGTTTTCCTCGACAAAAATTGTATGTACATTGTATACATGTGGAAACAACGAATTAAAATTTAGGTTTATTACTTCACTCATTGCCGATTTGTATTCATTGAAAAAGGATATACTGAGTGTACAGCGAATTTAGATATGCTGATAATAATATTATAGTATATTATACTAGTACCAACAACATGAATACGTCGCTGTGTGTGTCCAATATACTCTTTATACGCAGATTCCAAAATATGAATATAAGTTAATTTTATCGAAATGTAAAATTTGAGAAGCGAGTATCCTGTTTAAGTCTAGAAACATAATATTTTCATTTCAGAATATCACAAGCTTTACATTGCATCAAACTGAATTGTGAGTACGGGAGGTTTAAATTTATTTTTGTCGGTGTATAAAATGGCCGCGAAAGGCTCGTTGTAGTTTGATTTCCTGGTTTAAAACATTGCATTGGAGGACCAATACATGTTTAATGCTCGCCACAATTATAATGGTGTATATAATATAATATCACACAGACAGTCTTGCCACTCTAGCGTCACTGCTCGTATGAATCGTTCTGTGCAAAACCTCGTGGTATACCATGTCTAATTTCTTAAATATATATGATACATAAACGCTTATTTTTTTTAAATATATGCACATTTGGTTAGTTTTTTTTTACACTAATCATACACACTTGAGGGAATATTGAACACATTGTAACAATAATTTGTATGCTTTAAATGTAGCAATTTTCTATAGTAAGCCGTAGCTAATTAGTCATTCAAGGCCGCATCCATTGTCTGTATATTAAATGCAGGTTATAACCAAAAGCGCACCTGGTGTTTACGATAAAATGCACAGTAAATACTTGATCCGAGTAGGATGTCACGAATTACCAAGAAACAAAGTCGCCGCCAATATGTGTTTATTGTGCAATTACGATGAAATGTATGGATGTACTTATATTATATAGCAATACTTAACAGGGTTGTTTCGCAGTTTCTGTTTAGCATCGATTCCATGTCTGTGCGATGAAGCTCGGAAGTTAGTCCGTCTATGCTAATCAAATCTATATGGTAGCCTGCAAACGCAAAATGGGATTGCATCCTTTGTAAATGTATTTGATTTGTAGTATATCCAAGCCCAGTGAAAACAGACACAGTGATTGTAGTGATATGATGCACCAATTTACAGAATTGCGATTACATGAAATGTATAATTTTTGCCGCAAGTGGTTAGCCTTACAGTATCTGTACAGTATCAAAAATACATGTTGACAATTTAAACCAAAACTATAAAGAGGCGAAATAATCGCAACTCATTTTTGTAATATGATGCATAGTATTGACCCCTTTTAACTTCTATGATATGTTACCAAAATTAAATAAGTTATCTCTTGAGGATTTGTTTTCTTCTTTTGAAGATAATGTATTAGGACTGTTCAGACGCTTGATTCATCATTCACATTTAGAATTTCTCAATTGTCAGATACAATCTACTTACAATTTGGAATGAGCTTAGTGAATCGCAGTTTTAGAGAATAAAGTACAACGTTTACGATGTTCTTATTACCTTCACTAAATAGAAGAAAATCCTACCCGCATAATCTCATGCAGAATGTCAGATGCGCTCATTAAACTCGCTATCATTTATACGGTTTATATACTTCAAACTGACAGAATACAAATGCTCCGAAATAGACAACTGGGAAGTGAGTAACAAAAAACACATGTTTTTGAGCCAATGAGTTAGTCTAAAAAAATAAGCAGTAAGTTATGATTTAAATGTGGATTTTGTATGTAATGTTTGGCAATGAGTTTGGCGTTAATTAGGTAGCATTATACAGGGCATTTAAGATATTTATTTGTCAACGTGTGGAGGCATGTTACACATTACACGAGACAGGATTACACTGGGGATGCGGTTCTGAACAATTGTCTTATGTACATTTCAGCATGACCGCATTGCGAAAATGTACATAATACATTGTATACACAAGTCGTCATGGTAACATTGAAGATATTGATTTCTGGAAATATGACTTATTCTTCACCAACTACTATTATTCAATAAAAAGCGAACAGACCAAATTTACATATGGCTAATCATTACAACGTTATGGGTATAGAACAAGTTTAACGGGAACCTCGAATAACGATAATATTGTATCTGCATTAACATCTCTCATTATTTTTTGTGAAAATGCACATCTATGTGTTCGCATAACGATTTAATGACACTAGTATATTTCCATCGTTTGGGTTGACATTTTGTCTCATATTTATGATTGAAAGCTTCCTTCGCTATCATTTTCATTCCAAAATAAATGCCATATCACATGCACCATAGACTGTCATATTGTTAAACCTTTTATTTGCTTAATCACAACCCCCAAATAAAATAATTAATTCTAAGAAAACATCTGGCTTAGATAATTTATCTTTTAACGGGAATTGATCAAAAAATGATTGCCGTTCGCACAATATATGAAACACTCGCTTAAACGTTATATATAATTATTCATAATTAATATTTATTGTCATAAACGAAACATAAAAATCCACTGCAAAAATTAAACGACTGCGACATACATATCAAACGATATTGTGCCCTTAGAAATTTATCATCAAAGGTTATTAGAAATTCAAGTATTTGTTATATTAATACTACTTTAATATCATATACGTCATCCGCATCATAATTGAACACACATGACCCACTACAATAACTGCCTTAGGTAAATGTGCGGACTTTGACTCAAAACATATCATGATTAATTGTAGCTGAAAGGGAAGACCTAATAAAGAGTAGTAGACAAGATCAATGCTTCTTAATTGAATTGAACTGAGTATTCTTACTGAACTGACGTCATACGAGTGTTATGTATAGTGTAGTTCACACAAGACACCATTAAGCATTTAATTAGATTAATTAGTCGTTTACGTGACCTGCTTTACTTTCATTCAACATTTACATTTGCTTAATGAAAATACGATGTTTTCATCGTCTTAAATGTTAAAAAAACATTCGAACTACATTAGAAATCAAAATAGTGTGAGACATTTTTTTAATGATTCATAAAAACTGGTCTTTCTAACTATCTTGTTGCAATAACACCGTACCACAATTCTAGTGTCTGAACTAGGGGAACTAAGCTATGTCACAATCAGCTAAAACAATATATTCCACTAACCTCTGCGAAACCTGAAACTTGTATTTGAAGAACATGCATAGTTGTAGACCACTGCAAATTTGAATATGCACCACAAAACATTACCTTGCTCCTAAATCATGCACCTTTCAAAAACAGATTTTTTCGACCATGTTTTATTACGTCCAATACAGATTTTAAACATCGTAAGGTTTTGTCTTCAGACATATTTGTTGATTGTGGAATTGATGTACTGAAATAACAGAAAATCAATTGTATTAAACATCCGTGGCATATGGTGGACATTCGTTTATTCTATTGTACAATGCATTAACGAACGAATGCGTTAAGTGCCAACTTACAAATGTTGAAAACGATGCACAGGTTTTTAAAAACATCAATATTTTGCTATTTTATTAATTACCACACAACAACATGTATACTTTTAAATTAATGCCCACAATAGGTGCGTATGGTGGTCATTCGTTTATTTGATTTTCATCACAACAATATAATGAAAATTAAACGTTGAATTATGATATATTGAAGTGTTCTAACCGAAAATTTGGAAATTTGCTTTCAATCTTTAAATTTTGCAGCAAGTCTGTTATATAAAGTTCGTCCAGACGCTGGCCCGATAGATACAATGTAAGCGTGGGAAAATGAAACGATTTGTTTTATGCTAATTGTTGTGCAGAAAAAATATTATTGGTTCATACTTGCGAAATTATCTCGTGGTTCTATTGGCTGAAGGTTAACATTTGTCATTGAAACCACACCTACCATTTAGTGTAAAGGGTACCCCCACAAAGTCGTATGCTGTGACACGTAACCACGAGAAATCTATTGTTGTGATTGACATCAAATAAACCAAAGGCCACCAAATGCACCTCAGGTGGACATTAATTTCAGAAGTGTAAATTTTGTTTTGTTGTAATAAACTTTATAAACAAAATATTAGTGATTTAGAACACCTTTGTACTGTTTTCAACATTTGGAATTTGAAACTTTGCCCTAAAAGATCGATAATGCATTATGCAATTAAATAAACGAATGAAATACAAAATTATTTTGAAATTTGGTTCAACAACGGAATCACTGAAAAAAACAACCATCTCGTTATAAAACGATATCATTATTGTTTTTGTTTTGTTTTTCATTAAACGGAAATTCGATATAAGGAATCGAAGTAATACTTCTTGAATGTAAGGGTCGGATTTATATTATGAGGTTATTACGAGGATACCTCAAAGTATGCACGAAGACAGTACAGCGGGAGCATCGACGCGCAGCGGCGTTCGACGCGACGGCGTACTGTCTGAGTGAACACTTTGAGGTATCCTAGTAGTAACCTTATTATTATACAGCTTTTCCTTCCAATGATACATCATGGGAATGCCAAAATCCAAAAAAAATTAAACAGAACTAGCGAACTTCTTTCTGTGGAGTCCAGTCAAACCCTGGTAGCAGCCATGTTTGTTTTTATTAAGCGTGTTCCATATTTGGAATTCGTATTTTCTAATATGGTAGGATGAAAATACCCCGTAAAATAGCGTAACATTACGGCACGCTGTAACTTATGACGTTACAGTGACAGATGTATAAAAAAAATTATTATGTATTATATTAGTATATGTATTACTATACACAACCACAGCAACAAAATTAATTTGTATCGATTTTATCCCTTTAGGTAAACTGGTACCTTTCCTGGAATACTCTGCTTCTCAGGCGTCCATACTGACCCTGGTAGCTGTGGCTATTGAACGGTTCGTTGCCATATGCTATCCACTGAAGGCACAATACACCATTACACCAAAGAAGACAGTACGGATATGTGTGCTAATATGGCTGATTGCGTGTGGAGCTAGTATCCCGTATATACTCATGGCGCAACACATCTTATATGACGTCACGGAAAATGGCGACGAGTTGTTTAATTGTGGAACTTACAACGTTTCCCCACTTGCAGAAATATACGTCATTTCCTGCGCTGTGATATTCTTCTGGCTTCCATTGTTCGTACTGATTGGTCTATATTTGAGAGTTGCATTTGAGTTAAATAAGAAGATGCCGTCTTATAGCAGTATTGGAGTACGATTTGCCAAGGTGTCGTCAAAAACAAACGAGGAATATACCATGCATTCATACGCTTTGATTCGGGATAATGGTACACCAGAAAAAAAAGTCCGCAACACTAACAGACAATGTGCAATGAATTCATTTTATACACAGATGCAAATTCGAAAACGCGTTGTGCATATGCTAATTATTGTTGTGGTATTTTTCTTCGTCTGCCTACTACCTCAGCGTGTCGTCAGCTTATGGTTCAAATATGGTTCCACTGAGCAGCACATGTCACTTGGCGTTGACGGTGTATACACACTTGTCATTATTTGCCGCATTCTAACTTATGTGAACTCATCTTTAAACCCCATGGTTTACAATATCATGTCAACTAAGTTCAGAAAACAATTTGTAAAAGTTATTAAATTCAAGCGATTTACAGGCAGACGAGAGACGTCATTATCGACGCAAGGTTCGTCCACAAAATCACGTACCTACGGTAATAGAAAGGGTAGTGCAGTTTGAAGCCACGTACAATTGTGGAGAACATCTCGCGTGATCGATCGGAATAAAGCAGTTCTACTCAAGTATTCAAACGGCGCAATAATATAAACTGAACGGTTAAGGTCGTGCCATGCCCTAACTGTTGAGAAATACAACATGCTTCCGTTAATTTGACGAGCGTTTACCGGATTACTAAAAGCCGGATTTGGTTAAACTTCAAAAGACTGCCTTGAAAATTAATGAATACCCTTAATATATTAATGTCAGATTTTGTAATATAATATTTATATAAATGTTGCTATATCTTTAATTGACTCCATATAGTAAGTAAGTAATTGTCAGGAGGAAAATACAACTGAATGACGATACCCCAACGTCGTAGACTAAACTGCAACGTACAGAAATCGTGTATGATATGTATACAATAGTAACTGCAGCCAATTTATCAAGACATGTGGGTTTATCGTGTGTTAAAAAGAAGAAACTTCAGCTTTTAGATCACCGAGACGTCGTACGTACTTGAACTGAACTAAGATTATGGTATTCTGCCTCCGATTATTGAAGCATCGATGCGTAATAATTCAATGCATTAATTTGTACGAAATCAATCAACGCTCTGTTAGGTGTCGCAAACTGTTTTTATAAGACTCATCAACAAAATAGCCAAATGCCTTCGTACAAGGCGGCAATAGCGAGCGTTTTATTAAACGATGATATGGTTGCTGTTTATCAAATTGCTGTATATGTTGTGGGTTGAGACATTTTCTTTCCTTTCATTTGTATAGTGTATGTATATTAACCTGAATCCGGATTCGTCTTCGCGAAGTTAATTAATTCCAACCAAATAAACATCTCACTTCATCCTGGGTTGATTATATTATACTACGCGTCTCCCATTTGCTTGAATCTATTTTCATCAATAGACCCATTTAATAACATTCACCATCTAATTCAGTTATTTATTTATTTCCTTTATAAATAATATAAGACTAATTTCTTTGTTATCTGGGATTATGGAGTGAGGCATATTCTTCGTATGTACCTCATCTGCAATGAATGGATGAATAAGTAAGTTACAGTTTTATTTTAGATAAGACATATGAAAAGTGACATTTATTGTTATGTGTAATAACCATGTACGGCAAAACGTAAATCATACTATATAATGAAATATCATATCGTTGTTTTGCACAAGTTCTATTTTTACTATATCATTATAAAAACATTTTGGCCTTTCTTTATTGTTAATAAAGACCGCTCCAACAAAGAACAGTAAAACACGGTTTTATTACGAAATATAACTATTTTATTTGCATTCCCACTTTCCAGAAAATTCTGAAATATGTTTAACAATGTTCATGATCACATGATAAATATGATCTAAACATCAATTTTTCGATGAAATCTATATACGATTCAATATAGTATCTGATTATTTTAGGATCAACATTTAGTTCAATGACAAACTCATCATGGACGTGCAGGCGATAAAGTTCGGAATAACTGACACGTTATTCTTTGTTTCGCTCTATTCTAGACAATCGCATTGTTCTATGATGAGTTCGGTATTGAAGTATGCCTGCAACCACACTTATTATGCCATGTGTTATTGGGGCTTGTCTCATATATACTTACGTATTAGTAGATGACACGAGCTATTATACTTACGCGAATGGTCTAATGATGACGTCTGTTTTTTTCTGAACACGTTAGGGAGTCCATAGTTAATTATTCATGGCTGGCATGCTATATTTGTGAATGCGCGTAGTCTGCTGCGCATTTGAATTGAGCGAAGAACAGACCTGCTATTTACAGCAACTACGATACACATCGAGTCGTGAAGATGGACTCTTTGAACTCCAGTGAATCGATGTACCAGGCTGTCAACAATACCGTAGATGAGTACAAACTTTCGAGTTATACAATAATTATCACCACCGTCTTTTATGTGATAATATTCATACTCGGCGTGATTGGTAACGTGTTAGTCCTATTCGTTGTATGCTGCAACAAAGACATGGGCAACTCTACCAACTATTTCTTGGTGAATCTCAGCGTGGCCGATTTACTTGTGTTGGTTTTCTGTATGCCGGTAGCCTTGCTGGAGACGTATATCATACGACCCTGGCTGCTAGGTGAAGTAATGTGTAAGTCTAATGTAGTCTGTTACTTAAACATACGTATGTTACGGAGATGATATACCCTTTACCATGGGAAATACAAACACACATGCAATTTCATAGTAAATAAGTATATTTCTATGTTGTAATGTCATACGACCATGGTTGCTGGGTGAAGTGATGTGTGAGTATAAATGAATTGAATTTTCGTATACTTTTCCGGTAATGCCTGCTATCAGAATTGTGCCATGTATTGTTTGATGACGTATTGTGAATATAAACATATTAATACGAGTTTAATAATATCATCAAGTAATAATTGAGGCGTTATGACTGGTGTTCATGACGAATTCACGATTCATTATGCTATATTGTTTGCTTGTTTTGATGTTTCGTCTTTAAAATGAAATATAGTTTCAGTTTATGGAGTTTGTGAAAATATTTATATAAAAAAAAACATGATATGCACGGTTTGATATGCTTGCAATTATAATTTAACAATTGTGGATGAGACTGTGTGATCCCAATTTGACTGGGTTGTATGTAATTGTACTGTTCAATCCATATTGAGTTGAGAATTTAATTTGATTACTTTTCGTGACGATTTAAAATCAATTTTGAATGGTGATTTTAATAAAGTCAAAAGAAATAGAAAAAATGACGTACACATAAATAGGTACTTATTCATTAAACTACCTACGTGTTTATTTTCTCGTAACACTGTGTGAACAGCAACATATATATGAACTACCGAACTTACATTCATGTTCTCATTAGTTTACGCACGTGTTGATAAGTAAAAAAAATATGCCACGTATCTGTACATTCGATCTCGTTAATGACTTCGGAGAGGAAAATAAGAACACGGTGTGTGTTTGAGTAAGAAAAAATACAGAAGTCACAATTGTTTGTTATACAATATTCCAGCATTGGTGCACCCTAAAGTGTTGTTGTGTTGGCTTTTAGACCATGTAATTTGTTATAACGAGAGATGTTTTATGTGCCATTTTCGCTTATTTTAACGTAGTAATATGTTGTATTTGGCACTTTTCCGAAATCGCAGCTATAGTTGTTCTATGATAATTTCATAGCTGTACATCCTAATTAGAAACTTTACACGCCACATTCTTGATACTGATCACATTATTTTAAATAATAAACGAAAAACTAGTAGAACATGGATTTGAATGCTTACCAATATTGTCGGAAGAAAAGATTGTTTTATGTTCATTGATGCAATCAATGCAAACACACTCTTCACCTATTGACGTGCAAATTAGTGTATATCTTTGTTTAATTCTAATATCAAAACGAGCAAGTAAATGATCAGCGGACACTTTCTTCAAAGATATAAATTTGTTATCAATTCACATATTTGGACAAAACGAACACAATATTCTAGTAAAAACACAAATGTAGAAATGTTATGCAAAATCGCTTCAAGGATGTTTCTTCTGATTCAATCTATTTTTCAGAAAAAAAAATCATTTACTTTGCAATCACAAAATTATTTACTTTGCAATTACGTGATCGCGTGAAGGTTACGTATGATGTACTGTGTATTTAGTGTGAAGCATTGACTTTTGTAAAATATATAGAATAATATCAACTATCAAAATCAATTCTTCTATAATAGATATTCAATAATAATATGACTTCTTGAGAACTTCTACTACGTCCCTAAACGTTGTCTGTCTGTAAGTATTTATTAAATCTTCTACTCCACAAAAACGCAATTTCCCTTTCTCTGCAATGTTCTTTGCAACGCTATTGCTTCTCGTTGTGTCTCGAAAGGGTTTATTGATTGCATTTTAATAGTATTTTCAATACCCGATAACTGCTTTTATAGAGCGTTCCTTTCTTATTTATTTCTGAAATATCAGTAAATCATGTTGCATTGTTGCAAGTTATAATTTTGTATCAGATCAGATATTCAATAAATGACCATAATTAATACAGCACACGATCAACGAATTGATTATCGCCATTCGATAATGCACTCTACAGTATACTGAGATTAAAAGTGGTTATAGAGATGCGGACTGAAAACGCCTGTCAGACACCAGTATATAGTTAATTCGTCAAGGTCTTCCTTCTCATATGGAGTCTTATTTGTGATAGATGAATGCATTCAACGCGTTTGACATTTACGTAACTTGGCAGCCTTCCACGGTTGATTATATTCGAAGTACGGTATGTAAGACGTGGCATACAGTATTGACAATTCAAATGAATCTTCGACATTTAATAATGATAAATTGAGTTGATAGTATTTAGTTGTCAGGCATACACTTGAATGTGGCTTTCATATATTCCGGTATATTTGTTTCGTGTACGTTGGTTAGGTCAAACCATATTTTTTTAATTGGTCTTCGAATTCGTATGTAATAAACTAGAGAATAATTACATTTTCAATATAAACCATAATCTATCAAATAACAGCCACAACAGTCTTCGTTGGTTGCGTTTCAATACAATAATATTCATTCGGTATAAACCGCTGGCATGTGACTAATGACGTTTTGATTTAATCTCATAGCAAGTGATTACAGAAGAGCACACTGTGATTGAATTAAATGATGGCATCCACAAGACGCGTTTGCCTTGAATTCAATCACTTTGGCACAATATTGTAAGGTCAGCATCAATTTATAGGGGCGCGTCTGGTCGATGCGTTCTACGATGTTAGCACATAACATCCGATAATCATCAGATGTATATCAGACTAGACTATCATTTTAATCATGTCTTCGAGATGTTTACAAGCGACAAGCGACGCATATTAAACGGAATGTACCTATGTATTAATACTGCTGTCAACTATGTGTGTATTAATATATTTACTCTA